CACCCACCTATGCAAGTGGGGGCGCAGTTCGAATACATATATATATATATATATCATGTCAAATTCATCATATATAAGTCCAATTTGCCAAGGCAAACGCACATTTCCACCATACAAGTCTTTGCACGAGTGGCATGTGTGTGTGGGAGTTTCAAAACATGATGGTCGTTGTTTGCGTGTGGTTTAACAGGATCGAAACAACCTGCTTCATTGCTTTACACCGGGCTGTGTACAAGGTTGCATCACTCTGATCGAAGAATTTGCACAGCTGTCACAATACTTCAAAATAGTAGATTTGAATTCGTGAAAGACAAACTTCCACTACACAGAAAAGACCTCACCAAACTCCCCGTGTATAGTATACGCTCTTGCTGTGCAGGTGGGTCACTAAAAAAGGACATGCGGCTTCACCTGCCTGGCAGCTGGAACTTCACAAACACCTTCTGGTTCAAGCAGGTCTTTGACCTGAGTATTGTGACAAGACTGAGGCCTTCCTTTGACCTAACACATTGTCCTTCTGCGGTGAACAAGATTTGTTGGACAATCACTGGTCGAAGCAACACAGGTTGACGCCGCGTCGGTGAAAAGCAAAGAACGTTTGGCTCCAAAGAACTGGGCAGCTGGCGATCTGCGCAACATCTTTGGTTGGCACTTCCTGTTCCCTCCAAGCGAAACGACAAGGGCACCAAGCGAAACGACATGTGTCTCGCTCTCGCTGAAGCGGACTACCACCGTGGAACATCCATCTTGCGGCTTGCGCTTCCATACATACTAGCATAGGCAACTGAGGGTGGACGGGTGAAAGCCAAGGCTACTCAGCATCTCAGTTTTGTTGGGGTATCACACACTGCTTGCCATCTGTGCTGTCCGACCTTCGTCCTTCTAGTTGAGCGCTGTGTGGCCTGGCTCACAGTGTCACGGAGATGTTTTGAGACGAACCTGGGCCCTGCACTGTTCGTGTGTGTTCAAACGAGGGAGAACTCCCAGTTCGACCCCCTACGAGAAGGAACATAGACCAGTCTAAGCATTGAGGCCAGCGGGTCTCCCAATTCAAATATGAATCCATGTGGCTACAACCTCAAAACAGTGTGGATACGCTGCATGGCACTAGTTGACAATCTGCATGCAAGAACGTGCAAATTGTTTGGTGACAGGATAGACCAGGAGAGGCGTGATCGTTCACCATGTTCAAACAAGTTGCAGTTCAATAAACCTGACATTGCTGAAATATATATATATATATAATTATACATATATTATCATATATTAATATAGTTTCTGCCAACTCGGAAACCAATACAGGGTCGTGCCATGCTGTGGCCAACAGTTGGCATCTCAAACTCCCGCAGTGATATCTGATGACAGCACCAACCCCGACCTCTCGGCTATTGGACAGCAGGCGTGTTTTTATGTTTTCCCGTGGGGCAGCACTGTCCAGCATTGGTTTTTGAAAGGAGCTCTCCAGCTGGCAGACTTGGCAATTTCAGATCCAATCCCATTTGGTAATTTGGTGTAATGAAAATGAGGAAATCGCAAGGCCGAATGCATGGTCTCACTGATTTGCTCTGCAAAATTCTTTCGGACCTCCTGTTTCGAAACATCCACACGGCATGCACCGATTTGTATGTATCAATATATATATCTACTGATTTCTACATTCATATATATAACTCGCACGTGCACATACCAAGATAAAACCAGGGGTGGAGGGGAAGTCGAGGCCAACACAGGTCCCACCAAGCAGGCCACACCGGCTGTTCTCGTCTGAACAAAGCCCCGCCTTCCACGAGTCGTCCGGGACTTTTCGTAGCTCGCGATGTTTGCACCATAGCGGCTGCCATGGCGCATGGTCTGAGGAGGAGTTCCGTCACTTGTTGACCATGAACATGACCTCTTCAAAGGACTGCAGTATGGGTCGGTACGTTGTCACCAGGATGAATGGTGTCTAACAACTGTGATTCTCATGCAGCCTGGCGTTCTCTCCAGCGCTCCAGCGGTGAGACGGTCGCAAACGGCTACATGGGACTGAGACTGCGCCAGTATCCATTGAAAACATGTTTGGAACCGTGAACAAAGAGAAGGTTCCACACATCTTCTAAGGCAAGATTGAAAACGTGCCAGCATATAGTTCGCACACATGACACTGAGTGTTTTGAGTCTGAAGCGCACAAAACCTTCAAGAGAACGGCACCTTAGATTCGGATCCCACAAATATGATGCCCCATGCATGTTCATCTTGACTCATCTTGTTTCTCCTTTTGAAGTTGTATGGTTTGACAAAGCATTCACTTCTCTCTTCTGTCAGGAGTCAGTTCCTTCTCCGTTTCTTTTTGATGGTTTCTCCCTGGTCCACTACACCACAGTGGTTGGCTTTGTTGGATGCACCGGCAACTTCCAAACAAGAGCAACGCCAAGGTGGAGATTTGAACCACACACTCTTTAGTACTCCATACACATGATATTCTACATATGACTTGATTGCATCCACGACGGCATCAGTACTCTATGCAAAGCTCAAAGCATTGCTCACTATCCAAACAAAACAGCCAGCACAATTGATCTAGTTGAAGTCGAAAATAAAACTATACGTATGTAAACGAAAAATACAATTACTTTACTTCGAGTCTTCCCCACCAAAACATTTCAATCTGACATTTTTTGGGGCATGTATTGAAACATTATTTCAACATTCTTTCTGGCATATCTTCTGACATTCTTTCTGCCACACCTTCTGACATTCTATCTGGCATGTGTTCTGACATTTCTTCTGGCATCTCTTCTGACAATCTGCTGACATTCTCTCTACCATATCTGCTGACATTCTTTCTGACATTCTTTCTGATATTCTTCATTCCTGGCATCTCTTCTGACATTCACTCTCACACTCTGTCTGACATATCTTCTGAATTCTTCTGACATTCTTTCTGGCATTCTTTCTGTCTCTCTCTGCATATCTTCTGACACTCATTCAGGCATTCTTTCATTTTTCTGGCATATCTTCTGACCCACGGTTGAGGTCCGGCGAGGGACACTGCCATCCGGATCTGGCGGTTGAGGTCCGGCGGGGAACACTGCTGGCGGTTGAGGTTCCGTGTGGAACACTGCCGTCCGACACTTGCGGTTGAGGACGCGGAGGAGAGAGGAGAAGGACAAGCACGGCAGTTGACATAAAATCAAACAACCCTCACCTGACAGGTGGGGAACAAACAAACAAAACAAACAAATAAAACAATCGACCTTTGGACATCACCCCATTAAATCAATGCTGGCCCCAAAATCCTTCTGTGTCAATTGGAAGTTATCCTCCCACTCTTGTGCCATGGTCTCCAAAAAAGCCACGGCCACTGGGTGCATCTGACACTCGACCTGCCCACTCCGATGCCCTCGTGGCCGGTGGGCCGTGAAAGATCGGACCTTTACAAGTTACGTCGTCTACTTTGAAGACCAAGAAGCATCGCTACTAGGAACAAAAAGCTACTAGTAGCTCCTGGGGCACATACTAGTAGCAAGAAGCTTTGCCAAGTCGCAAATGGCTTCACTGGCAAGAGCGGCGCGAATCTGGTACCCACCCGAGTGAATGGCAAAGTTATTTTATCTAATCTGTTTGTTCCACGAATACCCACAGCTTTTTGCAGGTTGTTAGAACTTTATGGAATCGGATCGTCAGGCAGGGCATATGTACAAGCTCTCCAAGCTAGAAAGAGGAGCAGTGAGTTATCAGGAATGCAAATCCGAGAAAGTCCTACACTTCAAGGATTCAATTCTTGATGTCCAACAAACTCACCAGTTTTCCACATATTTCCGTCTCCAAAAGGAGAACTTGTCAAAGAACATGCGAGAACATGGATGAATGTAGCAGTTCTTCCTGGATTCTGATGTGCCAAGGAACTTCACTCGGGGGTTTTGCAAAGAGTCAGTTCTTCTTGGTTCCTTTCTGCGTGTTCTTCAAGTGACATCTCAATCTAACTCAAGCTCTTCAGCTCCAATTCCCCCGACACAAGGCTTCCATATAAAAGGGGGGGTTCTTGGCCATAGAAGGCAATGGTTTCCTTTGTTGGGCACAGCCTATAGGGATCTATCTATCTATCTATCCATCTATCTATCCACCTGTCTACCTGTCTACCTGTCTCCCTGTCTGTCTGTCTGTCTGCCTGCCTGCCTGCCTGCCTCACTGTCTGTCTGTCTGTCTATCTATCTATTTTGTTTGATCTAATATGATCTAATTATAACAAACAACCCAATGGTAGAACATATAACATCCAGGGTTTGACATGGAGCTTTATCTCGCAACTCTCTCACAACTCCCAGCTTTGTCTTTCGTTGGGAGAGCGTTTCACCGACTTCTGCCTACGCTCATGGCACGGCCATTGGATTCATAGCCACAGAGTTATGCTTCAGAGGACCAGATCTCATGGTCTTCCGAATGTTCACTTGCCCAGCCACGTGGGAACATGTGAATCAAACCAAGTTGTTTCTTCATCACGAAGGCAAGCTCCAAATGCGCTTGAGCTGCACAGAAAAGCTAGGACCTTATGTATATAGAACTATACACATGAATCAAACGAACTGTGTAAAGTCTAAACTAGCAATCAGTGGATGCTTTTAATTTAGTGTGGTGGACATGCCCCATGCCCCGAAAAGGGCTAAACAAGTATACCATCGGATCAGTTCTGCCAAACAAATTTCATCCAAGGCTTTTGCTGTTGTTATCTGGAACACTGACTGCGCTGTCTTGATTGAAACAATCAACAAGTATATAAACCCGACCAGTCATGAAAGAAGCCTCAAGTCCACCAACAGCGCTGGCCTCCTTGTACCACATGTTGGATTCACGAGCTTTTGGATCAACCATCATGGTGTTTCTACGTCCTTACCACTTTCCCCTTCCGCTTATAATATACCAAAAGGCCATCATCTGAGTTTGGACATTTTACGGTGACCAGGCTGCGTGACTGGTGCTAGTCCTCCAAAGAAACAACTCCTGGAGACCAAACAACACTTCACATTCGGTTGGCGTCTGGACCATTGCCGCTGCTGGTACCTCCAATCCCGCAATTTTGGTGCTGGTGTGGCAACTGCGTAAGTGCCGCCATGCAACATAGCTTGAAACACTCCATCAACTGTAAGAAGTTGAAGTTGTCATGTTATTTTGCAATGCTGTATTGCCTGCTCTTGAAACTAACTAGGATCATATCATGTCCTTTTGGCTCTACACAGGTTGACCCAAGGAAAACTTTAGTTACAAGTCTCTATAACTCTATTACCCAAACAAAAACTATTTCGACTGGCACCTTGGCTTATTGAGAAAATGGGTGAGGCATGTCAGTGTCTCCAAAGATTTCCAAACAAGCACTTTGCACAGTGTGGAGCGATCGTTCACGTGTATCTCAGAGAACCTCAGAGTCCACACTTGAAGGAATTTCCTGAAGTTCCTGAAGTGAAAGTCCTATCTTTTTCGTCCCAAACTGACACCGGGTGGGGGATGTTGGTCCGTCTTCCCTTCGACTCCATCCCACCTGCGGAGCTCGCTGAGCTGCTCTTGGAGCTCTTGGAGCTCCCAACGCCTGTGGCGCTCATTGGGCGGAAGAAGTGGGTCAAGTTGGTTTACATGGCAGATTGAAGTTGTAAGCCAAGTCTAGTTAGTAAATGCTATCGATCATACAAAAACAACTATATACATATAAAAGATCCTTTTTGGGTTAACCAGTGAACAGTGGTTTGGCTATGATAGGCTCATGGTTTGGTTTGATGGTCAGGAGTGACTTGAAGTGCCGTTCCTTTGTATTTTGGGGTCTGACATATCTTGAGAGTGTCGAGGTGGTGGCATTTCAAACGTTCAACGTGTAGAACACAACTTTGGAACGATGCAAGCCTTCATGTTCAGTGTGGATAAGCAGGATAGAGATGGATAGAGCATGGTGATGGCTCCAAACAAACACGGACAGCCTGTGGGGGGGGGCAAGATCAATCCTGTCAAGACAAACTCATGCATCAACTGGTTCATGAGCTCTGCCTGAACTGGACTTGGAACTTGAACTGGTTCCGGAGCTTTCCTCCGGAGGCAAATCAGGACCAACTGCTGATGCCTTAAAGAAAATGATCCCCTAAAGGTAGCTGGGAGGTTCCGGGCCGCGCTGCAAAACCGAACCGAGCTCCTGGCCTACTGAGGAAAACCAACGAGCTCCAGGCACACCATGAGTGAAAGATCTAAGAATTCTTTGCAGAAAAACAGAAACCGTGTTAACAGGTGTTCATCCGCGTGGGCCTCAAACTACAGGGCTTTAGAGGGGACTTTGCCACGACTCTGTCAAAAGGGACAGTTTACAATAGATGATATATAATAGAAATACAGCCTAACATGGAGTAGTTCGCTAGAAAAAAGGTAAGCTGCAATTAATTGCTGGATGAATAAATGCATCTCCATCCATAGCAAGTTGGGACGTAGGTCTCTAGGTGTGTGAACCCCATCAGGGGTCAGCAACCTCCTTGGTCCCATTTTCAAGAAAGCGTAAAGACATTGTAACAACGCATTAGAGAGGTCCCACTCAATTGGTTCCGATCAAAAGCCTGGGTGCCCTCTAAATGCTGGTCTACTCTGAAACAACGTCAAACACTCGTACATGGACTCACACAAACTCCTATTTTTAACTCGGTGTTCACTTCTCCTCGCCGTTCTTGTCGTGGTCGCCATTCTTGTCGTCGCCGTGGTAGTTGGAGGCATCATGGTGGGACTTGGACGAGCCGTTGGGTGTGACCATTGCTGGACATGGCCACCCAGGTCCGTTGATGGAAAAACATCCTCAAAAACCCGCCTGCCCGGGAAAACTGCAACATCTACAACGCGGAATGGGGATCCAAGGTGGTGCAGGAGTTCTTCCAATGACATTATGTTATTTTGAGAAAAGAAACTGATAGACCATGATAGACCTCATCGAAGTAATCTCGGAAGAACCCTTCCGAAACAAAAGAGAGAGCCTGAAATAGTCCCCCCTGACCGGATCTTCATATACCCACCAGTTCCTCTGCCATATCACAGTTGGTGGACGGTGTCTCAGCGGACCGTCCATGGTTTGCTGCCAACAACTGTTGGATGTTGTCCACTTTGCAAGTTGATACTCTCGGTGTTCCAACGCTTTACTGCTCTACTTGCATGAAGTCAGTCATGTTGTTGCCAAAACAACAAATTTGACCCATTTGTTTTTAAAGTTCCAAACCAGGCAATACCAGTCTATCAGGTAGTAGGGTTCCCAACGCTGTAGCCTACAAATCGACAAAAACATGCCATTGCGACTGCTTGTGCCACTTGTGCTAACATCCAGGGCATCATCATGGCAAGTATTGCCAAAAGGTACGGAACTGAATCCATCTGAATTATACTGACACTGTACCATGTAGGGAGACTACCTCGGTGCTTGGGGGCGCTATTCGGTTGGAGGCCATCGCTTCTAGGTTGGAGGCCATTGTTATTAGGTTGGAGGCCATCGCTACTAGTAGCAAGAAGCTACTCGGAACAAAGGGCATCGCTACTAGGAGCAAGGACGCTACGACTGGGGCTCCTGGCATCGCTACTAGGAGCAGTCTTACTACTAGTAACAAGAAGCTAGTAGAAACAAGTGCATCGCTACTAGTAACAAGTGCCTTACTAGTAACAAGAAGCTATCAGGGTGGAGGCCATCACTAGTTGGGAGGACACGCTACGACGCAGTCCGAGGCTTCGGAGGATGGGGCGGATGGGTGGATCTTCGATGGGAGCCACGGAAAGCACCAGTCCGAAGTCAACCAGAACAGCATGACACATATTGTCAAGTTATGTAAGTGTTGTTATCCTAATACGTTCTTAATAGTTAAGTGAATTGTCAAGTTATCTTATCTTAATAAGTTCTGTGGGTCTTCGCGCACAAATCGAGAACGCTAATAAAGCCATGACACCCCCAGCCACAGGATATCAACAAGGATTTTGCGGAAACGTGCCCATAGTTCAACACACGTTTGACTCCTCTATAGACGCCCCATGCCGAGACTCCTCTGGGGGCTTCGGTGCGATGTGGCTGCGCGCGTCACTCGCGTCAGCCGGGCTCCTGGTGCCATGGCGTCCGGACTAGATATCAAAAGATATCCAGTGGACTCAGGATTTGTGTCACATCCCAGCTGCCAGAACCGTCCTTCCATAGCGTGGCTGAGATTATTGCAGGGTAAGGTCGGGAAGATCATCCTGTTTGACAAGTTTTTGGAGGGTGCAAACAATCTTGCACTGCACGTGCAAACAAATGAGAGTGGACAAAACTCACAATAAACCTGATAATGAAAAGCACCAAAACTCAGTGTCAGAAAGAACTAAGAACTGGAACAGAAATGCCAGAACACTCTGCAAACTCTGCAAGCAGCACAGCATACAATCATTTTCCCAAGCAATGACCAAGTGTCACTTGCAAAGCAAGGCTGTATCCTGAAACTGGTACTGGGCCTCCAAAACCCAAACACATCCAAGTTTGATGAACATTCAAGCTGCATACTGTAGATGATGGTTGATTTAATGTTTAAAACAAGTGCAGGGCGGTCGCATGGGGCTTTGCTACCGCACACTCCCAAATCATGTGAGGCAGCAGTGGCAGCGACTTACTTGTCAGCTAGAAAAACAGAGTGTAAGAGGGATGGACTGACCCGTCAACGCACACACACACACACTTCGAACTTGGGTTTTTCAGTTAACGCAATTGTCTCAATGG